GGCCTGAGTTACTATTTTTAGAAATCCTGGTGGAAAAGCTGCCTGCGTTGGGAACGTCTTGTCATTCCACGGGAAACGCACTTCCCTGTGGAAACAGGCAGTGGGTGGGCTGGGCCACTTTGGGGGTTATGGGGCCTGCTGGGGTGGCATCGGCCGCGTACTGATGCTAAAGCTGCAGCCCAGTTTTCACTCTGGTCCCAGTCCCTGTGGCTGCTGGGAGGCCGTGGGTTTTACATTTCCCCCAGCTTGCATTCCTGCCAGAGGCGGTTTATTCCTAAACCCAGACATCTGCTTCGTGGATAGCGATGGAGCTGCTTCTTCCGAGGCACAAATCCTTGCTCCCCTCCTGCCACCAGCTCTGGGACCCCGGCTGGGGCAGGCTCTGCTCTGCCAGGCTGGCAGCGGTGGACCCACGGGCATGGACACTCGCTTCCCCTCTTCCCTGGGGCCCTGCCCTGCCCCTCCGCTGTGCCACCCCTGAAGCCACCGCTCTGGCGCTGCTGGCCATCCCGCTGGCCACGAAGCCACGGGGATTAGTGGCTTCCTCCGACTGGGGATTTAGCCAAAGCTACTTAGCGAGGGCCGTGCAGGGCGGGCAGGAACCAGCTTGCTTGTATGGAGGGAGATGGGGAAAGCCGGGATGTGCGGCCTGAGCCCTCCTAAGGATGCTCTGTGGAAAGGGGTAGCCTGGGGTCTCTGGGTGAAACCATGGGTTCAGCCAAACTGGGTGTCCTGCAGTCTTCCTTCATTCCAGCGAGCCCCCAGCCTCCGTGTTATTTCCAAAGCCTTGTAGAGACCTTTGAGCCAAATCTTGGTCCAGTGCAGGCAAGACAGAGGCATGGGGAAAGGGCAGGCTCCGCTTGCAGGGCACTGCCAGTCGGGATGTAGAACAAGAGCTGGCAGATGGAGGCAGGCAGACGGAGGAGCATGAGGATGGGCCGAGAGGCTGTTTTCTTGGATGGGCTCTTGGCTCGCTGCTGGTTAAACAGCTGCTGAGCTTATTGGGGCTGCGGGACTCCTGGGGGAGGAAGGGGATGGGAACGGGGATGAGGACAGTGACCGGGATGGGGAGCTTGGGTGACTCTCCAATGTGGAGGTCAGCTGGGAAGAGAGCAGGGAAGGGCTTGTCTGCTAAAATTGCAGAGATGAGGGGTCTAGCTGGAGCTGTGGCTGGGGAATGGAGCAGGGGGTGGAGGGGGCTCACAGCTCCATCCAGGACACATGCCTGTCCTGCTGATGGCACAGGGAGCACTGTGTGCATTGCTGCTGTGTTGGACCCCCTGGACTGCTGCAGAGACCAACAAGGAAAACTCCCTACCGAGTCTAAGCAAACTGTAGCAAGCAAAGCTGTGAGCAGCAGAAAGTACCTACCCTGCCGAAGCACATGGGCAAAGGGGGGGCTCCACTGAAGGAACCCCAAGCCTGCTCTGGGCTCCCCAAAGTCCTCTCTGGAGGCCTCATCCTCTACTAATGCACACTGCCTTATAGGGAGAGGCTCAGGGGAAAATGTGGCTGCAGTGCAGGGAGAGGAAAACCCCCATATCCCTTGGGAAGAGTTCAACAGGTGGAGCAAGCCGAGAGAATCCTGGCCCACAGCCACCAGCCCCAGGCACAGGGCTGTGCTGGGGATGCAGAGGAGCCTGGCTGCCTGCTGAGAGGTTTGGGGTCTAATCCTGCTGTCACTGAGCCTGTGGTTTAGCCCAGGTGATTTGTAGGGATGCTGTCAACATGGCCATTATGCTCCCAAGCTCTCTGCATTGGCTTCCAGCTTGGCTCCTTCGCCTTGTCCAGGCCACTGTGGGACAGGGCAGGGTGGTCAAAGTCATCATCTGCCAAACCCAGAGCAACGAATCCTGGTGGCCACTGAGCAGCCCCCTGGTGCCCTGCCAGCTGCTGGAGCACAGAGCACATCCCTCTGGTCCCTGCTCCCTTACATCTGTCTCCCCCACCCTCTGCCTTCCTCCTTTCCAGGGTAGGGGGCTCTGGTTTATCTGGTGGGGTGGGGAAGTGGGAGGCTCTGCCACTGCTGGGGGAGG